GAGAGTGCCGCTATCGAATCTTGCCAAAATATAAATCCGCGCCCCATATTTTTTCAAATATCTCCTTTCCTGAACGAATTACTCTTTTCCAAAGCCAACATACAAAATTATAAATGTTGTGGATTCCGGGATGAAATCCGGTCTCAAAGGAATGACAAACGCAGGAATGAAATATAGCAAATAAATATATTGACGTAATAATACAATTAGTAATACGGTTAGTAGATCCAGAAATGCGGTTAGTAGCAATAATAATATATATACAGTTTGGGAAATTCAGTATCGAAGTATGACTTTCTTCAGAGTCTACGTGTTCGCAACTGTGACTCCTACAAAGCGGTTACCTCACACTCTCACTGTATCACTGTATCGCTCTTGCCCTCGGGTATTCACCGGCAGCAGTACAAGTACACACTGGGCGAGTCCACTTGTATGAAAAAGGGGTAGACCCCTTAAAAATAAAAATGTTTAAAAATTAGCAGAAAACGATTGAATTTGTAACCTTCTGTTATTTAAAATATATGAAACATAAACTTTAATCCCAAATTAAAATAATATAAACTAGCTGTACCTGTGGAAATTCCATGTAGCTTTGAAAACAATGATTTTCAGATTAAATTTTCAGATTACTCGCCGTTAATATTGACGTAAGAAATAAATTACTTATGCATGATTTTTTGCAATTTTAATTACCCACGTAAAAATACTTTAGATAAGGAGTTCTTAATCTTCAGATAATGGAGAAAAGGAGTCTGAAATATAGATTTACTTATCCAAATATATTTATGACGACTTTTAAATATCCGTTTTCGATATATATTCAATGAAATTGCCCCCATTTTATCCGATACAGGTAAATGTTTTAATAAAATCTGTGGGTATTGGTAATAAAATTTCAATTAGTAGTGAATATGCATGTGCATATGACCTTTTTCAATACTATAGTCAAATTCAAGGAAAACATTCGCAATTACAACTATGTATCTTAATGTGTGTCCTTTGGTGGAAAGATAAACGTCATTCCTGGAAGAGAAACATATTCTTTCAGAATGCAAGGGCAAACGTATCATTATACTGCCAAGCTACATCCTGACACAGAACAAAAACAATGTAGCACTCACTAATGAATTAAATTTGAATTTATTTAAATATGGATCAACTAGATTTTTAAACGAATCAATTATAAATAAAATAATAAATAAATTCAAAAAGGTAATTATAACTTTTAAAAAATAAATAAAATATAATTAAATATCGAATCGAGTAAAACCTTTAGAATTCTTTATCAAAAGTTTAACGTCGATTTCGGTTTTTGTCAGAACTGGAATTGATGATGTTTAATTAAACTTTAATTAAAATAAGAGGCAAAGTAATTTTGCTCAGAAAGGGCTAAATACGTTGAGAGAGAGGATACAAAAATACTTTATACAAATGAAAACTCAAAAATGGCAATTTATTCAAGTCGAAAAGGAAAATAAAATAAGTACACATTATACTATGAAAAAAAATATATACGGAAAAAAAACAAACAAAAATCCTTATATACAATTATGCTGTTTTAATGTTAATATGTCAACGTCGGACGTTTCGGTCTAATAAACCATCTTCAGAACATATTCATAGAATATAATTAACATTATCAATTCAACATGACAAAGACGATGTACATAAGAACAAGACATCCAAACAGATAATGTTAATCTGAATGTATCCATTTTACTGAATTTATGTCTGGATGAGGAGGTGTACCCTCCTCATCCGGACATAAATCCCAATGTTCGATGTTCAAGCTGTAGGGTAGATTTTCGATCCCGGGATCATCTTGAATTCAAAAAAGTATATGTCTATGTAGAGCCTGTGTGTCTTGAGTAAGATGTGTTTCAGACACACGGTCGGATAGATAGAATTTATTTATTTTTTTAAGCATAACGCCCCGAGCAAGATGGGAAGCCACGAGGATGCAAGGGGTTGCAGAAGATTTGGAGCAAGATCAGATAGAAGTGATAGAGGAAAGGATGGGGAGAAGGATAGTGGATAGATCAAGGCAACTGGAGATGTCGATTGACATTACATTTGAATACTTGGAGATTATAGCTCTCAGGGAAAATTGAATAGGGAAGAGAGTTCCACAGGCGAGAGGTGCGAGATATGAAGCTATTGAAGTAGAAGAGACGGCTACATTTAATAGTTTCGACAGTGAAATGGTGAGAGCGGGATGCCAGCCTCGTAGAGCGCTTGAATTCATGAAGTCTGGGAACCAGTGAAAGCAGCTCATCGGAGCAATTACCATGAAAATATTTGTAAAAAAGACAGAGAGAGGCGACGGCGCGTCTGTGAGAGAGCAACTGCAGACGAGATGCCAGATCAGGGCCAATTATATTACATATCCGCCTCTGGATCTTGTCAAGAACTCCGAGGTAAACAGAAGGTGCACCAGACCATATATGGCAGCAATACTCCATGCAAGGGCGAATGGTTGATTTGTATATTTGAAGTATCGATTCCGGGGAGAAAAATTTCGTGGCGCGGCACAGAGAGCCAACTTTTCTCGCGGTGGACGAAGCAATTGACTCAATGTATTTGTTTCATCTCAGGTCACCAGTCAACGTGAGACCGAGCAGACGCAGAGAGTTGCTCTCAAGAAGGTGACTATCAGACATTCTAATGGGGAGCAGGGAAGGATCTCTATGGTGATTAATTTGAGTAGTTTAGTTTTTGAGGCGTTAAAAATGACCAGCCAATTCTTTCCCCTAATTAACAACCGATTGGAGGTCCATTTCAAGACGAGCGGCCAGGTTAGTTTTGTCAGCGATTTATTGGTAATTTGAAAGCAGAAACATTTATTCTAAGTAAATTTTAGAAAAATTATAGTCCAAAGTTTTGTTTTTATGCGAATGAAAAATAGTTTCGTCGTCATTCTGAATAAGTTCTTGGTGGTGAAGGAAACGAATTACGCAAGGAAAATAAGACAAATATTTGTTTTTAAAATAATAAAAAAAACTTAAAAGAATTACTTACGTTTAATTACGGAATAAGTATTGGTTCTTCTTGTATACAAGAATTTGCAAATAAATGCGGGAAAACAGTGACACGCGGAGGAAAAAAAATGACTGTTTAAAGAAAATTGTTCTTCCTGTTGGTAAAAAATGTCATCAACGGCAGTTATGATGTCATCAACACTGCAATTCTAGTTCCCAGCCAAGTATTTTTTTTATGTTGTGGAACAAATGATGGATAAATCGGGAGAATATAAATGGTGATCAAACCGGTTCACAGCTACGGTCACATACAGCAGCCATTGATTAATTAAATACTTAATAACAAATAAAGAGTAAAAAGTTAACAAACAACACTATAAAATAGCTGCAAATAACCGCATTCGGATCCACAATTATTTATACTCAATGGCCTCTAGAATAACTTGAAATATAACAGTTATCCCTCATACAATAACCGTTGCGGATAATACAGTAGGCCTTACTACCCATAATGCACCACTGACAAGTATATATAAAGAGTCGATTCAAAACACAACATACATGGATTGAAGATTGTGTTGAAGCATGAAATAAATGTGTGTGTGTGCGTGTGTGTGTGTGTGTGTGTGTGTGTGTGTGTGTGTGTGTGTGTGTGTGAGTGTGTGTGAGTGTGTGTGTGAGTGTGTGTGTGTGTGTGCGTGTGTGTGTGCGTGTGTGTGAGTGTGTGTGTGTGTGTATGTGTGCGCGCACATGTAAATAAAAACGAAAGAATGGATTTTATCAAAGTAATGATGAGGACGAAACGCGGTGGTAAAGAAAATTTTCGTCATCTTTTTAGAGACATTTTATTTATATCTTAATTTTTACGCGCATATATATATATATATATTCGTCATCTTTTTAGAGACATTTTATTTACATCTTAATTTTTACGCGCATATATATATATATATATATATATATATATATATATATAGAGAGAGAGAGAGAGAGAGAGACTCTTCACAGATGTGAACTGAGTCACTGTCGGTCACTGGGCGTGTTTCTAAAAATAAATACGCTAAAATCCACTTACATCCCTACCGTGCGCCGACGGTTTAATGGTTAGAATCTCCGACTGACACCAATTCAGTCGGGTTTCGAGGCAACCAGATGTCTAGCCACACTGATGTGCTGCGAAACAGTCTGTCTGTGGACGACGTTATATATATATTAAGACATTTTATGTTTATACATTCTTTTTATAGGTACAAATATTTAAGTAAATGCCTGTTTATAATAAACAGTATTAAACAACATTTACCGGCCTGAATGTCCGAGAAATTTTCATAGAAAATATTCATCCTCTGACAGGATTCGAACCTGTATCCTATACGGAACCGTCATATAGCCTGACATGCTTTTTAGGAAAATTTCTCGGACATTCAGGCCGGTAAATGTTGTTTAATACTGTTTATTATAAACATGTCATTTACTTAAATATTTTTATCTATAAAAAGAATGTATAAACATAAAATGTTTTAAAATAATTGTCGGACTTTGTCCATTTCATAAAGTGTGACGTCATATATATATATATATATAAATATATATATAATTACATGAATCATTCATACAAAAAGCAAATATGAATGATTCATGTAATTATAAATTGAACTGCACCTATAATCGAAATTAATATATATATATATATATATATATATATATATAGTCATCCACAAAGAGAGTGTGGTTAGATATCCGATTTTACCCCTATGCCACTGGCGCACGGCAGGGACGTAGGTGACTTTAGACGTATTTATTTTTAGACAGACACGCCAGTGACCAGAGAACTCGATTCGTCTTAACGAAGATATATAATTTTTCCTGCCGATATCCGTTACATTACTTGCATATCTATATGGTTACATATAATAAATCAAACATATTCTACACAGCCGGAACTGAAGCACACATAATTATAAATAAATACAATGCATTAAAAATAAGCTGACATATGTGTGTCATATACACAGCTTCAGGTTAACGGTCCTCCAACTCAACCCATGCACACGTAAGATTATCCAAGACCACACTGTCGAACGCAAATTCGAAAAATGAATGCTGGATTTGATTGTAAAGAGAGCCAATAATGAGTAGATTGATGAAATCAAAACATAGACCGTTGTATACAACGGAAATCTGGTCCCGGGTGTCTCTGCGATGAATAAGTGAAGATGGAGGAGGTGACTGGAAGTGCTGGATCGTCAGCAAAGGGATTTGGACATGGCTTCTTCTTTCTCTTCTTATTTCAATGCTTTTTCCTCGTCTTTCAACGCTTCTGCCTTTTCTCGCATGTTGGATCTTTGGGATAATGTTGAAGTTTGGAAGATAAACTGAGACAAAGATTAGAACAGCCTGAGATAGATAGATAGATAGATAGATAGATAGATAGATAGATAGATAGATAGATAGATAGATGAAATAGAGATAAGAAACGTAAGAGAACCTGTCACAGCAGAGAAAATAAATTGATAAATTAAGAACTAAATCGACTGAAATTTCCCCATGGAATCTTTTGAGATATCGACTGTATTTCTCAAAGTAAGAAGAACGTAAAAATGAAAATGCCTGATTGGTGACATCGGTGTTTGGCAGTTTAGAATAACAGAATAAAAGAATGAATTTAAATAAACGCCCAAACGACGCCATTGTCAAATGTGGATAAAGATACCTTTCCGATACAATTGATCCCTGCCCCTGCTTTCGACATTTGAGTTCTCTGTCTTTTTTCTCTATTTCTCCTTCTTTTCTTTACACCGTTCGTTATGACGGCCTTGTGTCTTTTTTTCCTCTGCCTTTCTCTATTTTGACATTACTTTACCTTCTTCCTCACCTTTCCTCTGCTTTCTTTCTCTTTATTTTTATTCTTGTCTCTTTATTTCTCTTCTTCTTCTTCTTCTTCTTCTTCTTCATTTTTGTCTTTTATTCTTCTATTCTCCCCCTAAAAAAAAAACAAAAAAAAAACATTTCTAACAATTATCAAAAGCCCGACATCTAAAAAATACTTCGTCAGCGTTAACCGATAGCCGGTGCATCTGCCATGTAATGATTATTGGCGCGAAAAGTGGAATCAAATTCCATCCGAATGTGTTGCTCTCACTTTCGCAGTTAAATACTAACTTTGGACGGCAGCCAGACTAGGTTGGTTTGATTGATTTTGTTTAGCGGCCTATCAACACCTCTATGGGCTATTTAATGGCGAAATATAAATATATGGAATACAATCTTATGGCTTCAACTACAAATAAAATGTATTGTTCGTGATTCTGCTATAAATAAGTATTGTTGGTCATTTTTTTTTTTTTTACATAAAAATGTGTTGCTAGCTTTTTTTTTATACTCTCATTTTCTTTTGTTTGTGAGTTCACTATTTGCCCATAGCTGGGCCCCTCACAAGTGCTACCACCCCGGGTCAGAGTGTACCTAAGAACAACAGAAATTAAGAGGTGGTTCCACGTTCCTAAAAACCTCCAATCGATCAGAGGTCTTGCTGCCGGATGTAGTTTATCGTTATACCCAGGACTAGACAGGCTATGAAAAAGCCATTAGAAGCCATTACCCTATCTTTCCCAATAAGTTTTGGCAGTTTGTAGATAATGAAGAAAAGTAATCTATGGAAAACTATGATCGCCTAAAGCGATATGGCGCTAAATAACAATGATACTTTAAAATATGTTCCAATATCTATCGAATTTTAAAACCAAATATATGTCGATTTTCCAATTTTGGCTTAAGACTTGATATTAACCTGTACGTAGTTAATAGTTTTGCATCTCTCTCGCTTTCTTTCTCTGTGTGTTTATTGGTACTCTTCTTTCAGGACGTGAGCGATCATGTCTCTTCACATCTTCCTTTTTCAGCAATTGTTGCTTCTTCTCTTTCTGAGATTTGTTCTTTCGTGCGTCTTGAGTATGACGATAAACTACGTCCGGATTATGATCGTGGATTTGAGGAGGGTGGAACAACCACCTGTTAATTGCTGTTGTTCCCAGGTTCGCCCCTCGCAAGGAGCTGGATAAACAGAGAAAATAAATTCACGAAAAGTCCTTCTGACATTTTCACCATATTACACAGTGACCCCATAAGCGAACATTTCGCAAGTGATAGGTGCAGTATCTAGTCTAAAAGCTGGCAGTCACACCAGTTCCTAACACCAGGAAAAGATATATCTCTTTAGATTTAATCAAAACTCGTACATATTTAATCTGTAGAAACGTTTTACTGCGTCTTTGCTGAGAAAGTCATTGAGATAATGATTTACTAAGCGTAGCTTAGTTGCAGCACAAAGCTGAAAGTATTGGGCACCCAGTGAGTATCGAACTCACTACTCAGTCGTATTTGATCTAGCAAGACGAGCTCATTAACTATTACATCATGTTGAAGTGTCCAAAATCTTTAGGATATTGTTGAAATGAATGTTAATACTGACAGACAGGTTTAACGAGTTTTTTTTTTTTTTTTTTTTTAATTGGCCCAATAACCAAGGGGGATTTTGGTGCCATACAGCGCAAATCTCAATCAAATTAACCCGGTGTTTGTCTGATGTTTTGTTTGCGCCTCTCGCCTAACTTCGAATAACTCTAAGTAAGAACGCTCGATACAAAACTCTTCTTACTATCTAGCATAAGTTCCCGAATATTAAAGCAATTTAAATCAGCCAAATGTAAGGGAAATATTCTCAGGAAAATATTTAAACCGTACTCAGTTCCTTTCATGCGTTAAATTGATCATTACCAAATGTTGGGCACCAAAATATCAGTTCTTGACATAGAATTCCTTATATTTATTAAAAAAATAATGATCTATAGCAGTGTTTCTCAACCTTTTCTTCTTTCTGGCCCATTTTTGTTCTAAACAATGTCAGACCCACACAAACCCAGATTAAATGCCTTCCAGGGCCATTTAAAATATCTATCAGACCCAAATAGTCAATTATGTGCCATGCGTGATACAAGATTAGGCGATCATGTATCTTTCGATACATGACTGATGAGGCAGATTTTTTTCCTGCGTTACGTTACCATTTCTTTCTGCGACAGACCAGTAACCATCCAAAGCTAGAGAACCCGATCTGTCCTACTATTTACCCCTAGCTGGGTGAAGAGGATTCATGCCATTCTCAAGGTTATTAGCTCGTAAGTGAATGTAATGAAATTCGAGCTCGGCTCTCCGATTCTTCAATCCAAGCTGCTATCTATTACTCTACCGTGCCTCATTTGGTCTACAAATTTATTTACATTTATTTATAAATTTTATTTAGCAAAATGTCATTGAAAATATTAATCCTGACGAATGACTGTTTCTAGTATTTCCAGGCCAATTTAAAATATTTCTCAAAGACAATTTTGGCTCTAAGGAGCCACGATAAAAATCACTAATCTAGATCCCTATTCATATGCTTATGGGGTGCTGAATCCATTATTTTGTCACTGAAAATCACCACAAAAAGTATAAATTGTCTAAATCGAACATTTAAACTCTTTTTTGTTTTTTTTCTTTATTTGGTATCTTCCCTGCAGACCAGGGTTTTTAGACCTAACCCCCCCCCACAATTTTTCTAATTAGGAATGTTAAGTTTTGTCTTAATCTTCCTCTTAAGTACAAACAACATTAATACAGTTCCATAATCGACCTGAAAGTCATTCAAAGCCACAAATGCCCGATTGGCTCTATTGTGCGAGCCCAGTGTGTTATAATCCTTGCCAATCTGATTATTAGCTTTGTTTAGTGCTGGCATGGTTGCCAGTGCCGACTTCCCTTTTTATTACAATAAGCCATAAGTAGCTATATCAAGTAGCCAAATCAATAGTAATTTACAATATCACAACATAGGACTAAACATTAATTTTTGTGAGTGGTTTCTGACATGCCATTTACATACTAAAAAGCAGAGATGCCAAAACTCGCTTAACGTCAGTGCCAGATACGATCTCAGATTTTTCAAAGTCTCCAGACAGAAACAAAAGATTTTATTGTCTTTAAACCTGGCGAAACTAGAAAATTGGTAAGATTGGTTCGGTTTGTTGTACGGGCATATCAACACCTCAATGGGTTATTTAATGCCGACAAAATTTTTATTTTTGGTAATATTTTTTTCCAAAAATCTATTTCTGGTAATAATTTTCCTTCATTGGAAATATTTTTTTAAAAAAATGTATAACTGATAATGTTTTGTTTTTTTTCAAAAATGTATTGTTGGTAATATTTTTTTCCAAAATGTAATACTGGTAATAATCTGTTTACAAAGTATTTCTGGTATTAAAACCTATTTTTGCACGTTCATAGTTTTTTAACCCAAGTTTGGGTGTTAACTATTTGCCCATAGCTGGAACCATAACAGGTGCTACCACCCTGGTTCAGCTGGGAACACTAGCAATTAAGAGGTGGCTCCACACTCCTCGAAACCTCCTGATCAAAGGCTTTGCTGTCGGATGTAGTTTATCGTCTTACCCAGGACACGGATGTAGTTTATCGTCACATACTGAGGATCTTTGGTAAGAGTGTTGGATTTTTTTGAAATGAGCCGGCCGACATTTTTTAGTACATCTTGTATACATTTTCTTAGATTTAATATTATATTATAAATATTAAGAAATACATATGCACAAAATTGTTCATTTATCTGTAAAATCTTTTACTAACAGTTGGTAATTTCAACGCCTCCAGAACGAAAAATTCTGTCTATTAATCGTCTGAGAGATCGCTTTTTGACTTCAATCAACATGGCTGATGCTAACATCCAAGGAAGTTACTCATTACGCCTTCTTGGCCTAATGCTCTCTGTTAACATGATGTGGAAAGATTACATTGAATCAATTGCTAGGTCGCTGCTACGAAATTTGGTTAACTGAGCCGTACTGGACAACTCTTCTCGCTAGAATCTAGCTTACTGTCGTTCACCCATGCCACCACATGGTAGTAATAATTCAACGAATAGAATGGTAATCATAGTATAGCAAACTAGCAAATTCTTGTCGACACGTAGGGAGGTGCAAGCTCTCGCTTTGTTGCTAGTATTATCCTGGGTAACATTATTAGAATCCAGCTATCACAAGACCTAATCACGGCCCCACCAACTACCGGTAGAAGAAGGAAATATGAAGCATGTTTCAAGTTGAAAGGGGTGGAGTCGTCTTGTATGGAGAATATAGACCGAAAACTACATTTTAACTTTAAAATTTAAGGGTCGTCTTATACGTCCAGTCGCCTTGTACGCCAGCATATCCGTTGTCTGGATCAAATTTACCGTAGCCCTAATATTCATGAATCAGAAAACGAATCATACTTATGAGTACTCTATAATAACATTTTCTGATATCATGGAAGTTGTTTGCATCTTCTGACAAAACAAATTCTTGTCTATATTTCTGAGATGAGTTATTGTAATTATTTACACTATTTACATGAAGGTCACATTGTCCAGTGGATAAAAACGTTGGTTGAATCCAGTGACTTGATCTAAAGCGTTGAGAGTTAACTACAGAAGACGCGAACAAAAACTTGAAAGAGAGATAACTGATAATGAGACACCCGGAAGAGGCATGGCACGTAGAATTAGAATAATCTACCCATGTCGATGAAATAAAGCGTTCAGTTCCAAATTCCAAAACACCTGAAGAAGGCCGGAGCGTACAACAGCCGAAACGTTG